ATGATGATGATGATGATGATGCTGATGCTGATGCTGATGATGCTGATGCTGATGCTGATGCTGATGATGATGATGATGATGGTGATGATGATGATGATGATGATGACTATAATGCTGATGTTGTTGATGACGATGGTGGTGGTAATGATGCTGCTAATACTGAGGATGCTGATGCTGATGCTGATGACGATGATGATGATGATGATGATGGTGATGATGGTGACGTTGATGACGATGATGATGATGATGATGATGATGATGATGACGATGTCGATGACCATGAGTATGATGCTGATGCTGAGGATGATGATGATGATGATGCTGATTATACTGATGATGATGCTGATGATGATGCTGCTGATGCTGCTACTGATGATGATCATGCTGATGCTGATGTTGCTGGTGATGATGCTGCTGCTGCTGCTGATGATTATGACGTCGATGGTGATGATGATGATAATGATGACGATGATGATGGTGATGATGATGATGCTGATGCTGATGCTGATAATGATGATGCTGATGCTGATGCTGATGCTGCTGCTGCTAATGATGATGATGCTGATGATGATGATGATGATGATGATGATGATGATGGTGATGATGATGTCTTGTTGATGTTGTTACTGATGATGATGTAGCTGGTGATGAGGATGACGATGATAATAATGATGATGATGCTGATGATGATTATGATGATGATGATGATGATGTTGCTGATGATGATGACTTTGACGATGGTTATGATGATGATACTGTTGTTGATGATGATGATGATGATGATGACGATTATGATGATGCTGATGATGATGATGCTGATGACGATGATGCTGATGCTGATGCTGCTGCTGCTGGTGATGATGATGATGATGCTACTGCTGATGATGATGCTGATGATGCTGCTGATGATGCTGCTCCTGATGATGATGATGATGATGATGCTGATCCTGCTGATGATGACGATGATGATGATGATGATGATGATGATGATGATGATGGTGCTGATGATGATGATGATGATGCTGATGATGATGATGCTGTTGATGATGATGATGATGATGATGATGATGATGATGATTATGATGATGCTGATGCTGATGCTGATGCTGATGCTTGTGATGATGATGCTGATGCTGATGATGATGATGCTGATGATGATGCTGATGATGATGATGGTGGTAGTGGTGGTGGTGGTGATGATGATGATGCTGCTGCTGATGATGATGATGATAATGTTGATGATGCTGATGACGCTGATGATGATGATGAAGGTGATGGTGATGATGATGATGATGATGATGATGCTGATGGTGATGGTGATGGTGATGGTGATGATGATGATGATGCTGATGATGATGATGATGATGATGATGATGATGATGATGATGATGATGATGATGATGATGATGAGATGATGATGATGATGATGATGATGATGGATGATGATGGAGGAGGAGGAGGAGGAGGAGAGGAGGAGGAGGAGGAGGAGGAGGAGGAGGAGGGCACGAGAAGGAGGAGGATGATGATGATGAGGAGGAGGAGGAGGAGGAGGACGAGGACGAGGACGGAGGGAGGAGGAGGGGAAGAGGAGGAGGAGGAGGAGGAGGAGGAGGAGGAGGAGGAGGGGAGGAGGAGGAGGAGGAGGCGGGGAGGAGGGGTATGGGGGAGCAGGAGGAGGAGGAGGAGCAGGAGGAGGAGGACGAGGACGAGGACGAAGAGAAGGAGGATGAGGAGGAGGAGGAAGAGGAGGAGGAGGATGAGGAGTTTGCGGAGGAGGAGGAGGAGAAGGAGGAGGAGAAGGAGGAGGACGAGGAGGATGAGGAGGAGGAGGAGGAAGAGGAGGAGGAGGCGGAGGAGGGCGGAGGCGGAGGAGGAGGAGGAGGAAGAGGAAGAGGACTCATTTTACTATGACTAATACTAATCATAAGAATGGCATTATTGAGATTCACAATAATAGGCATGCTAAATTTCATATTCAGCATAGTAGGAAGAACATGGGCAATAGGAATACCATGAGTACTATGAAGACGAATAGGAATACTATTCAGACGGAATGTATGAATAGTATGAAGCACATTCATAGACATACTAATAGGAATAATCGAAATAATATGAAGACGAATTGTATTATTGCGAATACTAAGAAGACTAATCATGCTGATGACCAAATTACTACTAAGGATTCAACTGAGAATAAGAGTACGGATGCTACTACGAAGAAGAAAACTAGTATTACTAATACTAACATTACTGATTCGAATAATGATACTACTACTACTACTACGAATAAGAATAATACTAATAATAATAAGACGACGAATAGTAGTAATACTAATAAAAATATAATAATAATCAGAATAATAATATGAAGAATAAGAATACTAATACTAATAATAAAACTAATAAGAATCATACTACGGCGAATCACAATACTAAGAAGAAGGAGAATATTAATAATAGTAATAATTATAATTATAACACTAATAATCATAATCATAATACTAATAGTAATCTTACAAATAAAAATAATAATACTAGTACTACTAATAATAATATTAATAGTAATAATCATAATACTAATGCTTATACTACTAATATTACTAATGCTACTAATAATGTTACTACTACTAATAATAATAATTCTACTAATAATAATACTGATACTAATAATAATACCAATAATAATAATAATGATGATGATGATGATGATGATGATGATGATGATAATACTAATAGTATTAATACTGATAATACTAATAATAATACTAATAATAAGAATACGAATAAGAACACTACTACTACTAATAATAATAATACTAATAATAATGATAATAATGATAATATCAATAACAATAATACGAATAATAATAATAATGGCAATACTAATAATCATAATAATAATAATCATAATAATACTATTATTAATAATAATAATACTAATAATATTAATAATAATAATAATATTAATAATAATAATAATATCAATAATGATAATAATAATAAATAATGATAATAATAATATTAATAAGACGAATCATAAGAATAATAAGAAGAGGAGGAGGAGGGAGGAGGAGGAGAAGGAGGAGGAGGAAGATCATGATGATGAGGAGGAGGGCGGAGGGCGGAGGGCGGAGGCGGAGGGTGGAGGGTGAGGGTGAGGACGGAGGGCGGAGGGCGGAAGGCGGAGGGCGGAGGGCGGAGGGCGGAGGGGGAAGAGGAGGAGGAGGAGGAGGAGGAGGAGGAGGAGGAGGAGGAGGAGGAGGAGGAGGAGAGGAGGAGGAGGAGGAGGAATGCGGCGATGCCGGCGAGGGCGAGGAGAGGGGCGACACGTATAGGTAGAGGGAGGAAGGAAGGGTCATTCGCGAGGCGGAGAGGGTCATTCGCGAGGATGGAGAGGCGGGAGGGGGGGAGGAGGAGCGGGGATGAGGCAGCACGAGGACTGGCGAGGCAGGGAGAAGCGCTGCTCCTGGAGCGCCAGACGCCCGCGTGCGAGGCGGCCCGCTCGCGCCCCTGGCTCGAGCGCCGCCGAGGGGCCGATTTTCCGGCTGCCCAGGGGGGGCGGCCGCGGGCTTCCAGTCCGCCTCTCTCGGCCCCGCCCTGGCTGTGCCCGCCGGTCTGGACGCCCCCCACCCTGGAGGAGGAGGAGGAGGGGGAGGAGGGGGAGGAGGAGGAGGAGGAGGAGGAGGAGGAGGAGGAGGAGGAGGAGGAGGGAGGGAGGAGGAGGAGGAGGAGGAGCCCTTGGAGGCGAGCCCGGCCCGCCCCACGACCCGCGAAGGATAGCCAGTGGTTCTACCCCGCGCTTGTGGAGCAATCTGGGGCCTTCACTTCCTCCTCCTCCTCCTCCTCCTTCTACTCCTCCTCCTCCTCCTCCTCCTTCTCCCCTCCCTTGCGCGGGGTGCTGCTGGACAGGTGGCCCTGGCCCAACGTGCCTGCACCCTCTCGCGCGTCCTATCTCAAGGGAGAAACAACCGCCCCGACCCCGACAGTTGGCGTTTACGAGGCGGCCCTGGGCGTTGACTAGACATCCCTGCCCCGCCCGATTCCTTCCTCGGGTGCGTTTCCTAAACGGCTTCGCTTGTCGGGGTGCTCACTGCGGGGGGGGGGTCTACTCTCTCCTACTGTGGAGTCCACCTGGGGCCCTCGTGGGCCCCGTGCGGGGTGCTCTGGAGGTCGCCGTGGGAGCCTCCCTGGAGATCCTCGGGGCGCCTTGGACCAGGGGCACCTCTGGCGACGCCCCTTCTGCCCCCATCGTCCGCGGCCCACCCCCCACCCCCAGTGGAGGCCCCCGCGGAGGCTCCAAGCGGTCCCTGCGGGGGTGCCCTGAGGCCTCCAGAGGCTCCCGCCCGTCCAGGGGCTCCTCGTATACACGGGTCGCGCCAGAGGCCGCCAGAAGGACAGCCGAGACCGAGTACTTTGGCCCACCCACCTGGGCGCCGAGGTGGTATCGCTTCACGCGTCGCTTCCTGAGCCAGAGCGGTTATCCTTCTTCAAGGAGGCGGTCGCGATGTCCCGATGGCGCGAAGATGGTCGTGCATCGCGCGCCGTGGGGCGCGGTGCGGAAAGCCAGGTGACCCAGGAACACCTCGATGCTCCTCCCTCGATCTTTTGTTTTGCGTTGCGTTGCCCTGGCGCTCCCCCACTTGGGAAGGGGGCGGGGGAGGTGTAGCGGCCGCCTCGGTTGGTCCTCCCCCTCGCCCTGGTCCCAGGGCCAAGCGCCGGCTGACGAGAACTCGCGATTCTTCGAAGCTTTCACTCTTGAACTTGCCAGCCTGCTCGCCCCACGCTGCGCGCCCTCTTGTCGCTCTCGGTCGGGCCCGCGCTTCCGGGCCTCGCGCCGCCGGTGCTCTCTTCGCTCCTCCGCTGGGCCTCCTCCTCGGCGTCGGTCCGAGGGAGCCGAGGCCTGGCGTCGGCCCACGTCCAGAGAGCCCCTGGGGCCCTTCACCCCCGGGAGGGCGGGGGGAGCCTCCGCGCAGGGCGCCCCCGGACCCGTGGGCGCAGAGCGAAAGGGCCCGCGGGGTCCTCCCCAGATGGCGGCCGCCGCGGGGGCCCCGGCCGCGGCCGAGGCCCACGACCTGGAGGAGCCGCCGCGCGCCGGCACCTCGGAGGCCAGCAGAAGACTGCCCTTTGCTAGGGGGCCGCATGCGAACCCTACCCCCACCCCCCACGCTTGCTGAGGGGGAGGGTGGGGTTCACTTTGCTCGGGAGCTCCCGAGCGGAGTGAACCCCACCCTCCCCCCCAGAAATCATGGGGGGCAGGGGTAGGGTTCGCATGTGGCCCCCCACGAGCGGCACCGCAGGTGTGGCGCCATCTAGGTCGCACAGCATCGGGCCCACCACGGGGAGTGCACGATTCAGGCTGCGCCGCACAGCTTGCGCGACACAGGTTGGACCGCATGCATATACATATACATACACAGAGTTATATGTACATACGCATAGTCACACACACATTTTATATATATATATATATATACAAGTATATATAAGTATAGGTGTATAGTTGTGTATACGCGTATTAATGTACATATGTATGTATTGCATCACGTGTACATCTATTGCAGAACATGGCTTGCACAGCACACCCCGCACCACACAGCCCTGCGCCACGTGGAGGTCGGCGCGGTCCTCCCCGCGGGAGCCGCCGCCGCTGCCCCGCTCCGCGCGCTGGGAGGGCTGGCGTTGGGGGAGGGGGGGACGAGGAGGACGAGAAGGACAAGGAGGACGAGGAGGACGAGGAGGACGTGGAGGACGAGGGGGACGAGGGGGGCGAGGAGGACGTGGAGGACGAGGACAAGGAGCACGGGGGTCGCGCTGGCACAGGAAGTTTAGGTCGGGCATGTCCCTCTGCAAGGGGGGAGTAGTCAGAAATAGTCAATCATCAGTCTGGGAACGATGTTTCGATTATGTTTAGACTATTTTTCAGCATTTTTCAACTATGCTGTAGGCTTTGTCCAGAATCCGCCCGTAGGAGGACATGCCCGACCTAACAGGAAGTCCGCGCCGATCTCCGAAGGTTTATCAGTGTGCCGCTTGACGTCGTCAGGATATTTCGGCAGGGCAGGAGCGGTTCAGCGACATGTTGCTGTCGGGAGTCCGTGAGCATGCCACGCCCTCGTTTTGTACGAAGGCCTGTCTGTTCAGCAGCAACGCGCAGGGTGGGCTCCCCACGGCGCCGTGTCATTGGTATTGCTTCTGCTCCTTAGATACTGGTGCAATGCAAACGGGGGTCAGCCAGAGCGCCAAGGCCAGATCTTGCAGGATCCTGCAGGGCCAGAGGTGCACTGACCTGGATTTGGGTGCAGGATCCTGCAGGATCCCGTGGGATCCTGCAGGATCTTGCAAGGCCTGGCTGACCCGGGCTTGCTCGGACCCGGGTCAGTAGATCCTTGATTGTTGGTCCGATGCTGATCTGGCGACCGACCTGGGTCAGTATCATGGCGCCAACATCGCAGAGCGGATTTCGTTCGGAAAACGATAGGATTGGCCTGAAGTGTCCTGGAGAATGTCGTTCCAGATTTCAAGGTGAATTTCGCGCGGATTTTTTTGGCCAGGGATGAAGACTAAACAAGAATCCACGCGAACTTCACTCCGTTTTCGCTCGCCGCCTCGGGGTTCTGCATTGACAGAACTCCGTGCGAACATCCGCTGCAGCACGTCTGCAAGGTCGGCGCAATGGTCAGTACAGTCAGCCATGATAGTAAGGATGGGACAGCTTTCCAAGGCCACCCTTGCATCCTTGCCCTTTCGGCACTCGGCATCCCTCGGCATTCTGCTGCGCTCCGCACGGAAAACGTCAACATGGCGTTCCAAGGCCCTTTGCTAGGGGGCCGCATGCGAACCCTACCCCCACCCCCCACGCTTGCTGAGGGGGAGGGTGGGGTTCACTTTGCTCGGGAGCTCCCGAACGGAGTGAACCCCACCCTCCCCCTCAGAAATCGTTGGGGGGGTAGGGGTAGGGTTTGCCTGTGGCCCCCTAACCTTCTACTCCAGATTTCGTAATAAAGGGAGGGGGGTCTCATTTCGGGGGGGGGGTCTCTTCCAGGCTATCTTGGAGGGCCCGGGGGGGTCTGGGGACGATGTTGTGGAGGCTTCTCCCGCGGGGGAGGTCTGAAGTGGCTTGTCTTGGAGGGTCCAGACCCCCTCCCTTTTGTTACGAAATCTGGAGTATCCTGACCGAGTGTGGATCCCCGACTACTGTCAGGAGGGAAAGAAACACACAGACACAATTAATCGGCGACTCCCCAGAAAATATGGGAAAATATGGGAAGTGGGGGGGAAGACGAAAACCCAGAAAATATACGAAAATATGAGGAATCTTTTTATTTGTGTGTATTTATTTGTGTGTCCTGGGGCCCCTTCATACTGCTCCGATGCTGAGCCCGCGGGGTTCGCACCGCCAGCGGCGGCGGCGCTCCGAGCGGTGCCCTGGCTCCGGGCGCCTCGGGGGGCGGGGGGCCCGAGCAGCAAGCCCGCCAGACCTCGCGGGGGACACTGTGCCGACGAGGTGGGCTCCGCGAGGGGTGCCCAGGGCAGAATTGGCACCATGCGCGCAGGCGAGCCTCGCTCCGCGTCTCGTCCTCGTCCTCCTCCTCCTCCTCCTCCTCCTCCTCCTCCTCCTTCTCCATATCTCCTCCCCCCTCCTTCCTATCTCCTGCCTCCTCCTCCTCCTCCCTGCCTCCTCCCTCCTCCCCTCATGCGCCCTGCCCAAAGGGCATAGGCGCACCTGTTTGCCCGATTCCGACGCCTTCGCTTCGCTTCGCTTCCTCCCTCTCTTCTCCCTCCTCCTCCTCCTCCTCCTCCTCCTCCTCCTCGTCCTCCTCCTCCTCCTCTTCGTCCTCGTCCTCGTCGTCGCTCTCTTTGAAACATTGCAGGTGTTTCCGATCGATTCAGGATTGTTAGGGCACAACAGTTACGTTGATTCGCGGTGTTGAAGTTTCAGGAATGGCGTTCTAGCGTGTCAAGACGCAGAAGTCAGGTTGACTCGTGGCGTTGAAGCCTTGAGAAGGGCGCTTTGGCACGCTTCAGGATTTTCACACGGTTGTTTCCCAACGGGGCCTTTCCCTAGTGAAAATGATTTTTCCATTCCCCAATTCGGCTTGCCAAAGGGGTTCTTACTTGGTTAAAGGTTGGTACATCGGGGGTTCCCTTTCCCGTTGCTCGGAGGTTCCCCAGGTTCCCTGGGTTCCGTGGGTTCCCCGGGCTCCCAAGGTTCCCTGGGTTCCTCGGGTTCCCCGGGTTCCCCGGGTTCCCCCCGTTCCTCGAGTTCCCCGGTTCCCCGGGTTCCCGGTTCCCCTGTTTCCCCTGGTTCTCCAGGTTCGTCAGGTTTCCCAGGTTCCCCGGGTTCCCCGGGTTTTTGGGGTTCCTGTTCCCCTGGTTCCCCGGGTTCCCCGCCCCTGTTTCCTCGCATTCTGATTGTGCCCGTTCCAAGCAATGCCAAACAGTGCCAAGCAATGCCAAGCAACGCGAAGCAATGCCAAGCAATGCAATGCCAAGCAATGCCAAGCAATGCCAAGCACTGCGCCATGCAACAGGAAGCTTTCCCCTAATTGGGGTCGCGCAGGGCTCATGGGGCCCTATGAAGAGGGAGATTGGAGGGAGGGTGTATTCCGATATCGTTAATGAGTCTTGGGTTTGCTCTGGTCCTCCTCCTCCTCCCCCTCCTCCTCCACCTGCCCCTCCTCGTCCTACTCGATCCGTAGCCATTTTGGCTCGAGGCTCTAGTTCCCCTTGGGAACAAAATGGATGCCGCTAGTCCGCGGCCAGCTTCAGTGTTTTCTTCCAGGCCACCTCAGTCGAGCTGCGCGCTGCTGAGGGCGAGCCGTTTCCTTTCAACAGTGAGCTCCTGCAGGAGCATCCCATGGCAAGTTCCTTCCATGGCGGCAAGAAGATGCGTCAGCAGAGGACAGTCTATCTTGCTTGCACTTCTTGTCATTACCAGTTGAATTTCCGCAGCCATACGTTATGCTGGAAGTGCGGGGGACGGCTGGGACCCGCTCAAGCTACGCCACTTCGGCCGCATGGGTCTAGGGCACGTGGTAGCATTCAGCCGTGGTGGACACGCAGCAAGGAGTCTTCCACAGCGTTTTCCAGTCCTTTCGCATCGGGACCGCCAGGAACTTGACGGCGAATGCCAGGATTCATTATTTCCAGGACCCGAATTCCCCCTTTGCCCTCACCCTGGGGCAGATTCTGCAGTGCTTGGAGAAGCATGTTCCGGCGGCAAAGGATCGGAGCAAGGCTGTGGCTGCTAAAGCCCACCCCCCGAAAGAAGTGCCAGTCCGCCCAGCCTTACTGCGGGAGCAGCGACTTCAGGGGGCGAGCGTGGCTGCCCGCAAAACTAAATAAGCAATACAGCGAGCTGTTCAGCATGGGCAGGCTTGCCAGTGCGGGAGGTGATGAGTTGGTCAGTGGCGAACTCGGACCTCGACAAGTTTCGCAGGCGGCCTACGTCTCATTTTGACTCTCCGGCATGGGCCGAGAATGCATGGGCGAGTGGCCGCCAGCTGTCCTCGTGCAGGGAGGTGCCATCGACGGCGACCCAGTGCCACCGATGACCTTCCCGATGCGCAGTGTGGCCTCGCGTTAGGGCCGAGTGGGCGTGGAGGAGCGCGCCCCTGCAGCTTCGGCACTTGTAAACTTCAACCGACTGCCGCAGGGGCAGACAGACAACCTCCTCACACGTTTTGACACCCTCCGCATCCGCGCCCAGCAAGCTGGTCAATTCATGATCGGCTGCGAGGGTCTCAGCTTCCTCCTCTTGCGCGCGGTAGGGGCGTCAAGCGCGCAGTTGGCCGCAATCTTGCAGCGCGGCTACGTGGCCCGCCCGACCAGCGCAGCACAACTTCGCACCGGCGACGGGTCAGCTGTGGCGCTTTGGGCATATGGTCGACGGGTCGCCTGGCAATCTCGCCGCAGCGGTTCACTCTGCCCAGCGGCAAACCACCCTCACGGGTGCGCCCGCGCAAGAAAAGCTCAGAGTGTCTAAGGCACTGCAGCCGGATCGAGCTGGGGCGGCCTGGGTCCATCAGCGCTGGGGACGACGCCGAGCCCACCTGGCCAGCGCCGCCAGCGCAGGAGGCATTCCCGGCAGTTGCCATCGACTCAGGTGCCGGCGCCGACGCCATCAGCTCATTCGGCGAAGGAGAGACAGCCGCCGACGACCGACGTCCCCGTGGAACAGCGCGGCGCGCGCCTGTTCCGGGCTGGCGAGCGCGCCGCGCCGCGATGGCGACGCGTCATCAACCGCGAGCCCGCGCGCCGCGCCCGGAGGGTCATTGAGGGGAGGGGCAGGGATCGCTGCACGGGCTGCCGAGCTTTCCTGGCCGACTTGTCCCGAAATGAGACCCGAGGGGCATTCGCGGATTTCGGGGTGGGCGAGGGCATGGGGAATGGGGGATTCAGGACCAGTGGCATTGGTTCTGGCCGGTCAGGCAACGTCATGGGCCCCGACGGGTTGCGACTCGAACATCTCGAGCGTTGTAACTCAATGGAGCGCCTCTTGCGCTACAGCCCCCGGCGCCGCGGCCAAGGGCGCGCTCTTCCTTGGCGCCTGCGCCCCATCGCCGCCAGCGTCGGCGCTATTGTCGCATCTGGGGCAGAAATGGCCACAGTGCCTTGCTCAGCAGCAACCCCTGAGGGTCGCGCGCGCGGTTTGGGTGATCAGGGGCTCCGCCGGCCATGGACAGACTGCGTCTGCAGGCTCGGGCGCGAGTGACCCCGCGCAGTGCGCTGATTCCTGGAACAGCTGGCGGCCTGCGCTGGCATCGGCGGCGCCGCGGACAGCGGCGGCAGCGGCGGCTGCAACGCCGAGTTCGTCGTCCGACGGTTTGTTGCAACAGGTTGGCCATAGTCAGTGGTCACGCTGGGCGGGCGCGGCGTCTTCGCCGTCGCCGCCCAACCCCCCGACGCCGAGCCAGGGCGGTTGCGACGGGGGGTGGGCGATCTCATGGGCCGCGCGCGAGCCTCTGCTCGGCCGCCGGATCCGTAATTGCGTTGCTGGCCCGCGCGGCAGCGGCGGGGGGGCCGGCGCCGGCCGCGTCGACAGCGCCGACGGCTCCAGCGGCGCCACCTGCGCCGCCGCAGTGGGTGCGCGTTGGCGGGGCGTTCCCTCTCGGACAAGGCCAAGGGGGCGACTGGCTGGGCGGCCTCCGCGCAGGCCGCAGCTCCCGCGCCGCCAGCTGCCGACGCGCAGCTGCCGAGCTGGGGCTACATGCCGTCAGTGTCCTCATTCAGCGTCGGCGCTTTCTGCGGATCGTGCTACGCTTGCATCGCATTTGGCGTCGGCGCCTGCGCCGCCGCCGGTGCCGGGCCCTCCCCCTGGGTGGGCGCTGCTCAGCGCAGTCAGGCCAGTGGGCGTGAGCCAACCGTCGGGGAGGGCGGCCATGCGGTTTGCCGCCTGCGAGACGGATGTCTGGCGACAATCGGTCCGCGTTCCATTCTACTCTCGACGGCGCTCGAGGGCGACATCCCGACGAGCTCCACAGCGCACAGGTGGCGCTGATGCTACAGCGACAGCAGGCAGACCAGCATCGCGAAGCCGCGCGGAGTCGGGCAGAGACGTCGACTTACCTTTCTTCGGTGCCGGCTGCAGCGCCAGCTACGCCGCCCAAAGTTTTCAACGGTGACAATAGGGGGCGCCCCATGTGTCTCGAAGTCTTCGTCCACTGCGGGATGGTCGTACGACTGCAGTGCCGACGCATCTTGCGCTGCGCGTGCCGCCTGCAATTTGCGCGGGGCACCGACGCCAGCTTGGTCTGAGCTGGCGTGCCGCGAACTAGCCGACGTCATCGCCGAATTTCGTGCGCGCGCAGGCCCCACCTTTGGCGCTGGCCCTTGACGCGCCGGCAGGAGATGCGCCGCAGGAGACGCCGCCACAGCAGGACGAGGCACCTTCCCTTCAGTCAGCCCCAGCCCCCAAGAAACCGCCACAAGATCTGCTGAGATCTCCGGGCGGTGCTTCCTGTTTCGCGTCCACGGTAGTTGCGCCAGAACCTGGCGGCGCTCACCTGGACATGCACTTGTCTCCGTGCAGGCCTACATCGCATGGACCTGCGCTACCATGGTGGCCGACTTCGTCAGGCGAAGGCTCGAGCTCCCAGGGCAACTCGCAGTGCTACCCGGCAAGCGCGTCGCTTTCAGGCGACTGTCTAGGCGTCGTCGTCGACGCCAGCGCCTGGGCGATCTGGGGCATTCGATTCGCCCAAAAATTTGGCCGGGCGAGCCACGCAGGCGAAACTCCGGCCCTCGGAGGAAAGATTGTCCGCTCCACGACATGTGGGAGGAGTTGGCCATGGGCCACAAGTGGCGAACTGGGAAATCCAGTGCCCCATCGCCACAAAATCATGCGATTATGTGACCACTCGAGACACCATGCGCGCTCCTGCCGTGTAGGGCGCAGGCGACGCTCTCCCTGCCCTGTTAGGTCTGCAACCCACGCAGTCCAACAACAGGGTGGTGGAGACAACCACAAGCGCCTCGTCTTCCCCGGACTGGGCGGCTACGAGATGGCCAGGCCAGACTCGGGGCATGCGAAACGGCGACACCTACGTCCCAAGGGCACCCTTGCATCCCGACCTCTCTGGCCAGCCCCGCTCGAGAATGCTCGGAGTGGGTGTCCACGGGGCCTGCGTCCTTATGTCGGTCCGAGGTATAAGATCGAGGTCGGGTCGGGGAGGGCAGCTCTAAGGTTCCCCGTGCTTGTTGGATGTTCTTGCGCACTGTGAGGGCGGGTACCTTCGAATGCTCTTCATTTTGGCAGGCGGAGGGCCCCGTGTTCTTGAATAGTGTTGTTCCCGACCTTGGCTCTGCCTAGAAGGGCTCTTACTCTCTTGGCTTAAAGGGGCCGGGCAGTGTAGAACGCCTGGGCGGTTCCCCCAGCATCCGCCCCGCGGTTCCCCCAGTTACGTCTCCTTAGCTTAGCGTTGCTTATCTCATCTTAGCTTAGCTTATGTCATCTTAACTTAGCTTAGCTTCATCTTAGCTCAGGTTCATTTAGCTCAGCTTACCTTCATCTTAGCTTCGCTGAGCTTTATAATCGCAGAGCACAGCATAGCATAGTAGAGCGTAGCATCGTATAGCGCAGCACCGCATATCATAGCATAGCCCAGCATATCATAGCATAGCCCAGTATAGCATATCATAACATATCATATCATAACATAACATATCATAGCGCAGCATATCATATCATTTCATACCATATCATATCATACCATATCATATCATATCATATCATATCATATCATACCATACCATATCATAGCATAGCGCATCATAACATGGCATATCATGGCATAGCATAGCATAGCATAGCATAGCAACTAATTCTGCTTTCCTAGGGGCTCCAACTTCTAGGTAGGGTCGCACTGGGGTGATCCTGTCTTAGGTCCGACCGTATCTCGGAGGCGCGCCCGGGGGGGGAGCGGAGCGATAGTCGGGCCTGCTCAGGCGGCTCGGAAGGCCTCGGGCCGTCCGAGAAGCTTCCTGAGCCTCCTCCGGTGGCGCAAGACACCTCTTCAGAAGACGCGGGGACTTCTGAGGAGGAGGAGGAGGAGGAGGAGAGGGAAACGGAGGAGGAGGAGTAGGAGGAGGAGGAGGAGGAGGAGGGTCCCGCCGCCTTCCGAGAAGGCCTTTTCCCTCCGACCCCCCTTCGCGGCTCTGCCGCCGACTACCGGGCATCCTCACTGCCCTCCGACCGCGCGCGTCCTTATCGTGCACCCTTGCAGTGGTGGCGCGCATCAGAAGACCATATGCTCTTCGTCAGGGTATCCCGGGTTTCTTCGCGCCGCGCGCTGCGCGGTGACTTTTCGCAGCCGTTGATGAAGCTGCTGCTGCGTTCCGGGCTTCCCCTCGGGTGCACCTCGCGCGCGGGCTTTCATGGCTGGGTTTCTTGCGAGGGTGTCTTGCGGCCGCGCCCGCACTGTACCGCATCCTTCTCCTCGGCATCGCTCGGACGTGTGCACTTTTTTCTCGGCGAGGACCATGGAGGAGCATCCTGGATGACTTAGCGAAAAAAGCACGCGCGAAATCGAAAAAATACACGAGGAATAGACGTCCGAGCGATGGCACGTCTCGTGCACCCTTGCCGTGCATCCCTGCTGCCCTCCGCCCCCGCGCGCCCCCCCTCCGCGCCCTCGGCCGCCCGCCGCGCGACCTCCGCCCCGGGGGGCGGGGGCGGGGGGCCAGGAGCCGGCCCCGCTGCTGCCGCCGGAGCGGAGGGGCTCCTCGTCGCCCTCGCGGGGGCCGCCCGGCGGGCCGAGGGGGGGGCGCGTCGGCCATGCGCGGAGGGTGTTCCGTATCGGTCAGAGCCCAGGGTTCGCTGGGGGCTGGTTTCCTCCCGACGCGACGAATCCCCTGCCCAAACCCTCCCGAAACCCTCCGAACAGACTCCTGGAGCCCTTCCTGGATGGTTTTCAGATGGTTTCGGGAGGGTTTCGGCTGTTTGGAAAGGAAGCCTGTCCTTAGAGCGAGCCCTGGACTTTCTAAGTTTTGCCGACCCCTATACCCATGCCCATCCCCATCCAGACCTCCTCCACCATCTCACCTTTGAGGCCCAGGCCACGACCATAGGGGTAGGGGGTCGGCTCATCGGCGCTCAGGGAGTGGAGGGAGGGGGAGGGCCTCTTAGAAGAACCCCCGCTGCTGATGTAAGGCCGGCGCCTTCCGAGAAACAGTCTCCTTCTAAGAAGCTTTCCCTCCCTCCACTCCCTTGTGCGAGCCGTCAAGGGTGGCGCGGGAGGGGTCCTGATAGGCCCCTGGCCTGACGACCAGCGGCGGCGGCGGCGGTTGTCCAGGTCTCCCAGATGGGCTTCGGAGGCTCGCCCCGCATCGACGATGCAGCCGCGATGCAGCTCGATGGGTAGCCCGATGTTCTTCAACCCGACGCCGCCGATGCATCGCCGACGTCGCGGAGGCATCGCCGACGCTGCGGATGCATCGCCGGTGCGCCGGTGATGCCGCCTCGGCGATGCATCGCGATCCACCGACCCCATCCACTCCGACCCAATCTGGGGGTCTCCAGTGGCGCTGGAGGGGTCCTCTTAGGCACCAGGCCGACGACCCGCGGCGGTGGCGGGGACCAGCGGCGGGCGGCTGTGGTAGCGGCGGCGGCGTTCCCAGATCTCCGACGGTATAGTTTCCTCCCAGCCATCCTGTGGTGTTGGATTCTCGTTTTGAAGAGACAGCGCCCCGCGTTCCTTCCTCCTCCTCTCCTCCTCCTCCTCCTCCTCCTCCTCCTCCTCCTCCTCCTCCTCCTCCTCCTCCCCCTCCTCCCTCCATCATCATCATCATCATCATCATCATCATCATCATCATCATCATCATCATATCATCATCATCATCATCATCATCATCATCATCATCATCATCATCATCATCATCATCATCATCATCATCATCATCATCATCATCATCATCATCGTCATCATCATCATCATCATCATCATCATCATCATCATCATCTCAATCACCATCACCATCATCATCACCATCATCATCATCACCATCAGCATCAGCATCAGCATCAGCATCAGCATCATCATCACCATCATAATCAGCAGCATCATCATCACCATCACCATCACCATCACCATCACCATCACCATCATCATCATCATCATCATCATCACCACCATCATCGTCATTATCACCATCATCGTCATCATCACCATCGTCATCATCATCGCCCCCATTTTCACCATCGTCATCACCATGTGGGCGTTTCGTGATTTCGGCCTCCAGAATCCCATTATCGGGCCCTGGGATCCAGGACGCAACGCTGATTTGGCCCTGGGGAAGGGGTCGGGACCTCTAAGGTCGCGCATCGAAAACATATCTTTCATATCGGCGGATTTCAGGAATGGAGGCGGCGGCGGCGCTTGGCGAGACCTCTACGACCACCCTGCGGGTGGTACGGATAAGTTACCAACCATCTGCTGGTGTTGGGTCCTCGTTTTGAAGAGAGCGCCCCGCGTCTCACTCCTCCTCTTCTTCCTCCTCCCTCCTTCCTTGCGTGCCTCTGCTCTCCGCATGTCAACCAGTTCGACACACATCTCACACGCTTCGTGGCCCCAAGGGGAGCTCCACCGAAGGCCCTAGTGACGACGTTCGCATGCGTCCGCCCCACCCAGTACAGCGTTTCGTGGGCCCACAGCGAGTTCCATCGAAGGCCCCAGTGGCGACGTTCGCATGCGTCCGCCCCACCCAGTAGGCCCCTGTGGCGACGTTCGTATGCGTCCTCCCCGCCCAGAACAGCGCTTCGTGACCCCGTCGGGAGCTTCACCGAAGGCCCCAGTGGTGACGTTCGCATGCGTCCGCCCCTCCCAGTACAGCGGTTCGTGGCCCCACAGGGAGCTCCATCAAACGCCCCATTAGCGACGTTCGAATGCGTCCGCCCCATCCAGCCGGCGTTTCGTGGCCCCCTGGGGAGCTCCACCGAAGGCCCCAGTGGCGACGTTTGCATGCGTCCGCCCCGCCATGTACAGCGATTCGTGGGCCCACAGGGAGTTCCACCGAAACCCCAGTTGCGACGTTCGCATGCGTCCGCCCCTCCCAGTACAGCGCTTCGTGGTCCCATAGGGAATTCCACCGAAGGCCCCAGTGGCGAAGTTCGCATGCGTCCGCCTCACCCAGTACAGCGTCTTGTGGCCCCCTGGGGAGCTCCACCGAAGGCTCCAGTGGCGACGTTGGCGTGCGCCCCCCCCGCCCCAATTCGGGACACCCCTCGAACGTTTTGTGGCCCCATAGGAGCTCCACCGAAGGCTCCAGTGGCGACGTTGGCATGCGTCCTCCCCGCCCATTTCGGCACACCCCTCGCGCGTTCCGTGGCCCCAAGGGGAGCTCCACCGAAGGCCCCAGTGGCGACGTTGGCATACGCCCCCCCGCCCCAATTCGGCACTCCCCTCGAACGTTTTGTGGCCCCATAGGGAGCTCCACCGAAGGCCCCAGTGGCGACGTTCGCATGCGTATCCCCCCGCCCGGGCCCCATTTCGGAACACCCCTCAAAAGTTTCGTGGCCCCGTTAGGGGGGGGGGGTATACTTAAGACCCCAGTGGCAGCGCCCGCATGGTGCCCCCGCCCCATTTCGGCACACCTTTTACACTCTTCGTGTCCCCATGGGGAGACTCACCGAAGGCGATGCCCACAACGGCGATACTTACAACTGCATATGGTTGGGTCCTTCGCCCGGATGTTTGTTGTTTGCCTTGTTTTGTCGTTGCTGGGTGGGGTGTGGGGGGCTGCAATGGAGACTGGGATAATGGTGAGGTGCGTCGCCACGGCGTATCTGCATTGTTCTGAAGGTCCGTCCCCAGAATGTATTGCAATACTGTGGAGCTCTATGTATGTATGTATGTATGTCGGCAGGTAGGTAGATAGGTAGGTATGTAGGTAGGTAGATAGGTAGGTATTTATGTGTGAATGTACAGATTAGTACATATTTACTAGGTGCGCGAAGCAGAAGCACAGTATGGTGTCCTTGTCCAGTGGGCTTGCTCACCCCTGGACCACGGGTGTTCTGGTCAAGTTTGTATCAGCGTAGAAGTGTAAGGAGAGAGTGTTGGCGATCGAGAGAGAGAGAGAGAGAGAAATATGGAAGGAGGGAAAAGTGAGAGAGGCAGAACAAGGGAGACATGGATAAAGAGAGATAAAGAGTTAGTCCAAGACCATATTTCATACGTGTCCACTTCCTGGTGAACCTGTGCCGGTCCAAAGGAGGTCAGCGGACACAGGCATGTCAGAGTCCCCCCTCCGGAGTGCGAAAGTTCCAGCATCGGATGCAATGACATCAGGATGGCGATAGAGAGAAAGAGAGAGGAACACACATACAGACACCACGCACGCACGCACGGACGGACGGACGCATTCATACGCAGCACAAACATAAAACACACGCACAACCGCAGACACACATACACAACACACAACACGCAGCACACACACCACATGACAAACGCCACACAATACACAGCTCGCAACACACAACACACCACGCACAGCACACAACACAACACACACCACGCAACACGCAGCACACACACACACTCCACAACACGCAACACACAGCACACAACACGCACCACACGCCACATACACAACACAGCACACAACACACAGCACACAACACAAAACGCACAACACACAATTCAAAACACAGCGATATCCATATTACTCCATGTGTTTTGCATGGGACACATGCGAAGCACCCTTCAGGAATTTGGCATAAGGTTTTTTCCCTATCTAGGCTCTGCCTAGAAGGGTTCTTACTCGCTTGGCTTAAAGGGGCCGGGCAGTGCAAACCGCCCTGGGCGGTTCCCCCAGTCCCCTGGGAGCCAAGCAAACGCAACAGCAAAGGTAAAAGCAAACGCGCGGTTCTCCCAGTTGTGCTCCCTGGGTGCCAAGCAAAAGCAAAAGCAAAGGCAAAAATGAAGGCAAAAGCGAAGGCAAAGCAAAAGCATAGCATAGCGTAGCATAGCATAGCGCAGCATAGCATAGCGCAGCATAGCATAGCATAGCCAGCATAGCATAGCCTAGCCTAGCCTAGCCCAGCCCAGCATAGCATTGCGCAGCATAGCATAGCATAGCATAGCATAGCATAGCATAGCAGAGCATAGCATAGCATAGCATAGCATAGCGCAGCACAGCATCCACTATTGCTGCTGCTATATGTACACATATATATATATATGTGTGTGTGTGCGCACGCATGTTCCATGCATGTTGTCCGTCTGTGGGCCATCTTGAGCCCTTAGTGGGGCAGCTTGAGCCCTTAGGATTCACGCGTTTACCGCTCCTACTAATGTTGCTTTCCTAGAGGCTCCAACTCCTAGGTAGGGTCGCACTGGGATAATTCCCTGGCGGGATGTCCCGAAAGCGACAGATGGCTTTCTTCTCGGGCAGCTTGCCAAAAGAACCTGGCGGTCCACACAAGTGTGTGAAGCTTCCTTCGTATGTGAGGCCATCACCAGTATGGGTATTCAGTGATTTCCACGAAGCAGGCACGCTTGGGTACGATTTCTGGATGGGGCAGCATGGAGCTATGCTGGTGAGGATTACCCTTACCTTACAAGCTTCGGTTGTGATGGGGGAAAAGGGATGGGAAGGGCCGCGTGCATGATTGTACGATATGTCATCCACAGGCACAGACTTGTTCTTCATCTTTCCACTTCGTGTGTCCACGCATTTAGTTGATGTTGAATGGGGGATTTGGAATCAGTCAGTTGTTTGTGTAACTCAGGCCCTGGAAGGAGTTTCCCCATCGTCATGATCACCTCATATACGGACGAGCTGGTTAGAGTGCCTGTGCCCAAGGACCCATGCACGCACGAGGGGACAGAGGCACAGTCCAAGCCAGAACCAGCTCCATCCAGCTACTCCAATTTTTTTGCCGGCGAAGGCTTGTGCTGCTGCCTCGGCATGGTCGGGTAGCGGTGTTGATGATAATGGTTATGGGGGTGAGACTGAACACGACGATTCGGATTCGGATTATGATTATGATGATGATGATGATGATGATGATGATGATGATGATGATGATGATGATGATGTTATGGCGATGATGCTGATGATGATGATCATCATTATGATGATGATAATGGTGGTGCGCGATTTTGAAACGACGTCACGGCTAGCAGCACCGGGCCAAGGAGGCTTCCCATGCTGTTGTTGATTATGGTCAGCACTTGAAGCATATGGATACGATTGTCCCTCGCTTGTGCATGATAGAGCTGTCCATGCTCTTCCAGCGACCCCCCAGCCTGCGCTAGAACCTGAGCGCGCGCGAAGCTCGCGCGTTGGTTCTAGTTTCTAGTCTATGTATATATATATATATATAGATACACAGAGAGAGAGATAGATAACTATCCCAGAGCGACCCTACCTAGGAGTTGGAACCCCTAGGAAAGCAGCCTTAGTAGTAACAGTAACGCTAAGCTAAAGCTAAGCTAAAGCTAAGCTAAAGCTAAGCTAAAGCTAAGCTAAAGCTAAGCCACAGCTAAGCTAAAGCTAAGCTAAAGCTAAGCTAAAGCTAAGCTAAAGCTAAGCTAAAGCTAAGCTAAAGCTAAGCTAAAGCTGAGCTAAAGCTGAGCTAAAGCTAAGCTAAAGCTAAGCTACAGCTAAGCTAAATATAAGCTAACGCTAAGCTAAAGCTAAGCTAAAGCTAAGCTAAAGCTAAACTAAAGCTAAGCTAAAGCTAAACTAAAGCTAAGCTAGCTAAGCTAGCTAAGCTAAAGCTAAGCTAAAGCTAAGCTAAAAGCTAAGCTAAGCGAAACGCTAAGCTAAAGCTAAGCTACAGCTAGGCTAAAGCTAAGCTAAAGCTAAGCTAAAGCTAAGCTAAAGCTAAAGCTAAAGCTAAAGCTAAAGCTCCCAGGGGACTGGGGGGAACCGCGGGGCGGGGACTGGGGGAACCGCCCGGGGCGCTTTGCACTGCCCGGCCCCTTTAAGCTAAGAGAGTAAGAACCCTTCTAGGCAGAGCCTAGGTAGGGAACAAAACAGAAAGAAAGAGAGAGAGAGAGAGAGAGAGAAAGAGAACGAGAGAAAGAGAGAGGGAGAGGGAGAAAGAGAGCGAGAGAGAGAGAGAGGGCAGGTATTCGTCCAGCCCTGGCGCGGCTGATACGTCCCCGCGTGCTGCTCGGCATGCTGGCAGTGGCGCCCGAGCCTCCGCGCTTCTCCTGCTGGCAGCGGGGCAGAGGAGGCGTGGAGTGGAGCACGACCCGGCGGCGGCCCCGCCGCGAGCGTTCAAGGGTGCACCCTGCCGGTGGCCTGAGGCCAGCCGGCATCGAAGGGTTCGCGCCATCGGAAAGCTGCGATCGCTCGCGAGCTGAGCGATCCACGCGGCGTCGGGAGCCGGCGCCGACGCCGCCTCGACGCGGACAGGCCGTGCAGCTCTCGAGCAGCTTCGGTCCTCTTCTTCCACCTCTTTCGTCGTACGTCCTCTTCTTCTTCTCCTCCCTTCTTCGTCTCCCTTCTTCTTCTTCTTCGTCCTCTTCTTCTTCTTCTTCTTCCTCTTCTTCCTCTTCCTCTTCTTCCTCTTCTTTTTCTTCTTCCTCTTCTTATTATTTTCGCTTCTTCGAAGTCGGCCGCCGTCTCTGCTCGAGCATCTTCCGCAGGCGGTGCAGGCACCGCCCCGGAGGGCAGCAGAGGGGGTCGCCCAGACACAGGAGCTGGGCTCCGTATGGCCGATGATGCTGCTATGGTGATCTGTTGGAGCCCATCGTCGGCCACGGAAGCGAGGCCCGAGGAGTGTCTCACCGTATTCGGGACGACCGACACGGATAGAAAGGATGGGTTTTCCAGATTTCGTAATAAAGGGAGGTGGGGTCTCATTTCGGGGGGGGTCTCTTCCAGGCTATCTTGGAGGGCCTGGGGGGTCTGGGGACGATGTTTTGGAGGGTTCTCCCACGGGGGAGGTCTGAAATGGCTTGTCTTGGAGGGTCCAGACCCCCTCCCTTTTGTTACGAAATCTGGAGTACAAAGACCGACCGCAGTTCCTGTTCATTTTGGACAGGATTCGGCGTCGCCGCGGATTGTCTCCACTTGAGACAGAAGGCCGCCGGCCAAACAGCGGCTGCGGTTTGTTGATGACAACATTTGTTGTTGGGCATTATGCCCATGTTTTCCGTACCCATTTCGGGCGTCCAATTGTATGCGTTGCGCTCGACGTTCTTCTGTCAGCTGGGACAAGCATGGAGTCGCAGAGCGCACAGTGCCCTTCAACGACGGCTAGCAGGCAAGCTGATGGTGGAGGCCAAGGACAGTCCAGGGCAGCTGACGAGAGAAAACCGGCTGTGCAATTGCACTCGGGCTGTCAGACATCAGTCAGATATCAGACAGATATGGGGCATTCCTGCCCAAACATGGGGAAAACCGCGGCATCAGAGTCAAACGGCAGCAGTTGAACTATTGTTTCGGTGTGCGATACGTCCCTGCTTCAGCCGAAAAGGCAAGACTTACGTTGGCCACCGCCTTGCCGCGTACGCTTTCGACATGGCCGGGGTCAGCCACTGGATTTTTTACTCCACAGATGCTTCCCGATAGTAGACACATATGCGAGTGACGGTATTTGATTGCGCAAACTTGCGCCACGATGGCCGCCTTGCGATGAAACAGTGGTGGAACAAGCAGCTCGAGAGGCACGTCGTGACGGAGTAGGAAAAGCTAAACGTATCATAGCTGCGCGACATAATATTTTCGCGCTCAACTCCAGAGGAAGACGCGAGCCCACTTCTTCCATGAGGAGCAGAAGTTTAAGCGACTACGTCTTTGCACCGTGGGGCTAGGTCAAAAGGTGCCGCATTCTAGGAATATTGGGGGCCCATCTCCAAGCAAATCGCGGCCGGCCTCCGCTCGATCACTTCTTTTTGGGGGAACTTAATGTGTCGCAGGATCCCACGGTTCCCCGCCCAGTGAAGAAAACCGTTTTTCGAACAATACATTTAAACTGGCGCAGGCGCAGGTCAACCACGTTTTCTTAAGCCGGGTGGAGCAGACTCCAGGAATTATCGAGATACTGAGCGACATTTTCTGAATTGTGGAACATCATATTTTTTATTTCACCTACCTCGATCATGTCTTGATGAAGGCCGACCTTGGTTGCTTTCGGGAACATGCCGACCCCGCTTGAAACAAACAAACGCTTCCAACGACGTGAGTTACTACGGCACCGTGGTGATCCGAGGGAACAGCTAACCGAGGACGATCCACGCCCGCACGACGACATCGATAATCTGAAATTCCCCCTCCCCAGACGCTCAATATGCAACGACGGCAGGAAGCACATGTTCGACGCGCGCGCGAATTGCTGCAGGGGGAAATTGAGGTCGCATGGGGACAGCAAAAACATGTTTGGCAATGCGAATTCCCCGAGAGACAGCAAGGTGCCGATTGTTCGCGCAAATATGTCAAATGTGGAAGAGCGGCCTCAGTTTTGGAGACTACCAGGCGGGTAGGATGGGTAGGTCGTGAACCATCTGTTCCAAGATTTCTTCACCCACCAACCCAGGGTGTCATCGACATGGCCGAGGAGGATTCTGAGAGAGTACAGAAAGCGATCCAGAAGGCCCCCGCGAGCAGAGAAACTTCCAACGGTACCCCACCGGTTTTGCTTTGGCAGATGCGCACCAAGAAAGTTCTGCTTCGCAAGACTTTGGGTTTGGGAGTCTTGGACGATCTATCTGATATGCAGTACTTTGAGTGAGCTCTGGTTGCTGCGTTCTGGATGGTCAGGAACCTCGAAGTGATCCCGACACAGTCGCACCAAAGCAACGGCGTCGCCCTAAGGAGAAGCACGTCCGACGGTCCCATTTGTAAACGGGCATTTCAGCTCTTCTCCGCTCCTGGGAAGTGCTGCTGTGCAGGGTAGTTCATTTCGCACGCTGATGCGCATGATTTCGGTTTCGTCAGGCACCGCCGGCGCGAGGGATTGTGTGTGTGTGTGTGTTGGGTGTGCGTGCGTGCGTGCGAGCGTGCGTGCGTGCGAGCGTGCGAGCGAGCGTGCGTGCGTGCGTGCGTGCGCGCGTGCGCGTGCGCGTGCGCGTGCGCGCGTGCGTGCGTGCGTGCGTGCGCGCGCGTGCGCGCGCGTGTGTGTGTGTGTGTGTGTGTGTGTGTGTGTATATGTGTGTGTGTGTGTGTCTTGTGTGTGTGTGTGTGTGGCCTTCCTGACGGGGAGGCGCCGTCTTGATCGAGGCAATGGTGGGAGGAGGAATAGGAAGAGGCGGAGGAGGAGGATGAGGAGGAGGAGGAGGAAGAACATCTTGTTTCTTTTTGGCGTGGGGACCGTGCGCTTGCCATCAACCTCAGTCAATGGCCACGGCGAAGCGGGCCAGCGAGCAGCCCAGACAAGCGAGCGTTTGCACATGCATGTGCACGCCACGTGATGATTTACCTCGTTCGTGAAAGCACATGCCACGGGCCCCACCCAGCCCCCCATTCTGACATCACTCCCTGTCTGGAGGGCGCAGGAGGAGGCGCAGGACATCCCATGCTGGGCATCTGCCGCCAGCTGTCGCAGCGTTCCTGGAAGCGACGAGCGGACGGCCCGTGACAGACCCTGCCCGTCACGCCCTGTGCCTCCTCTACCTTGCCGCTAGGATGACCGAGGCTCAGGCAGGAGCCAAGGACCCTGAGCCAGGCGGTTGGCGCGGATAGAGCAGTCAGACGTCCCTCCCCGAGTCCGCAAAGGCCACGAGAACTGCGAGGACGGGGATATGCCATCCAGAGACAGGGGCGTGTCGTGGTCTCTCAGCCCAGCGATGTTTTTTTTTTGGGTGTTTTTTTTTCCCTGGCGCTCGTGGCCGCAGCGGTGCAGGAGTCGCTCGCGGTTGTGGAATTCCCCCATTTCTCCTCCTCCTCCTCCTCCCTTCTCCTGGTCCTCCTGCTCCTGGTATTCCTCCCCCTAGTCCTCGTCATCCTTGTCTTCTTCCTCAAGCAGCGCGGCAACGCGATATGTACAGTGTGCTCTCCCTCCTCTGCGCGCCCAGCTTCCGCGAAAGGATGCAGCGCGGCTTCCCCAGCTGCGGTGGCCTCGGGAAAGCATGGACTTCCGTGCCCCATCCAGAAACCAAGCATGATGGGAACCGAACCCCTGCGGTTCACTCGCCCTTCGCTGCGGAAGTAGAAATATAATGAGAATGCAGATGATCGTGGCGGCTTCGTGCGGGAGGACTTTGTGTTTGGGGAGGACTATGTGGGGGAGGACTTTTTGGGGGACTTGGTGTTTGGAGAGGACTTGGCGTTTGGAGAGGACTTTGTTCTTGGAGAGGACTTTGTGCTTGGAGAGGACTCTGATGATCGTGGAGACTCTGCGGGGGAGGGCATGGAGTGGGGGGGGGACTTTGTTCTCTCTGGCGAGGGACAGGGCGGCTCGCCCCAGCAGCTGGGGCTCGGAAGGGGACGCCGTGGTGCCCGGCAGCGGCGCGTGAGCCAGAAGCCCACGAGGCCCGCGCCATGACCCGGGTGCCGAAGTTCGGCGTCACTCCAGCACTTGGGAACCCCCAAACCGGGTGGTGAGATACCAGGTGGCGACCTGGAAAAGGTCGCCGCTGGGTTTGGGGACGCAGGGTCACCACCGGGTTTTGTGACTCCTGGACCCACCAGTGTCCGGGACATCCTCGGAAAACCGCACGAGTCCCCAAACCGGGTGGTGACACCAAATCGCCCCAGACTCACCGCCAGGTGTTCTCACCAACACGTTTGGGGATTACCAAAGCACGCTTCTGTTACATGTGCGTCGCCCCTTCAGGGGCGACGCGCGCACCGAGAAATCTCACATTATCTGCGTCGTGGCGGGCGCTTCCTGGCCACACCCCTCGGGACACGATGCACTGCAGGATGGGTGTACTGTATGTTCGGGTCGGACGCGCGCCTCCACGGAGGACATGTAGTGTTAGCATGTCTCTGTGCGTCTCAGAAGTGGTTGGGATCGGTTTTGGGAGACCTTTGCTTCAGGATCGGTCTGCCCGTCAGGCTCCACGAATGCCGTCGGCCGGCCCAGGACGGCGCGCTCCTGCGGGCCTATCGGGGGACAAAACCAGGACGGCCCTCGAGGGGTGCAGGCGGCCCAGCGCGCGCTGCCGCCGGCTTCTGGCTGTGAGTGCAGTCCGGCGAAGGAGGGAGAGAGAAGGCGAAAAACGAGCCGACGACGACGGACGCGGAGGGGTGGGGGCCAGGGTGGCGTTGTCTTTTTAAGAAGGAGGGAGAGAGAGAGAGAGACAGAAAGAGAGAGAGGGCATTTCATTATCGTGTCGAAGTGCTCAATTTCTATCATGTTGTGCTGTTGCCCTCGCTGTGTAGGATTTCTCACGCGGAGGCTAGCTTAAAGAAGCTCCATGTCGTTTGCATCTCCCCAGCCCAAGGGGCTCTCTCAAAGTATGGTTTGTTTATCAGGCACTGCAAGCCAGCAAATCTTCCATCCGTCACGTGTGAAGTTTCCAGTCACGACGCTGCAGATGAACGCGACAGCCAGGAGGGCCCTGAAGTTGTGCCTGCTTCGCGCGCTTGCGTTGAGGTGGGCCAAGTGGAGCTTGGGGACCAACCCGCGCGTGTCAGAGCTGCGTTTCATAATGAGGCAATAAGGATGGATGATAACTTTTCTGTTTCAGATGGCACGGGCTGGCCTTCACCATCAAGGAACTTTTTCGGGCCATGTGTGAGTGTGGATCCAGACAGGGTGCCCCCCCCCCCCCCAGGGCAACTCAGGGGCACCTGGCCGAATTCCAAGAAGGCTACGCCACTTCCTCCTCGGCCTCCATCCTTTACCCGCTCCTCCTGCTCCTCCGCCTTTTCCTTCTCCTCCTTTTCCTCCTCAGCTTCCTCAATCCCCCTCGCGCCAGGGAAGCATACACATGGTCGACCGAGTACCCTTGCCGCTGCTCTCTCTGCCGCCCCGTTTTGTTTGCTTTCGTCTTCCCTTCTGTTCATGGCGCGGCTGGCGCTAACAAGGACTTACGGTGTGTTCGCCTACGGAACAAACAGCAAGTCCGCAGTTTTTGCAGCAATGCCGCTTCGCGTGGGCAAGGTAAGAGCACCACGCTGCAGACGCACTCTTTGGCGGTGCCGTGTGGGTCCGAGATCGTCTCCTCGCCTGGGTCGATCGCATCGGCGTCGGCGAAGGGCCCCTTCCTCTGCATGGACTCCGTCTCCGCCGCCTTCTTCGTTTCCTTCTCTTTCCGGGCCGCTCTTCGACCTCGTCAGCGCTCTCCGCCTCCGTCAGCATCGCCGCTCACCCGGTGCGCGGCCGTGCGGCCGCCGCGCGCGAAGCCAGGCGCTCGCCGCGCTCGCGGCCGCGCTGCTGCTGCGCAGGAGGGCGCGGGACGCCACCAGCTCCGCACGCGGCCTGCCGCTGGAAGCAGCGGCGGGGCGGGTCGGGGGCGATGATGGTGATGGTGATGGTGATGGTGATGGTGATGATGATGGTGATGGTGATGGTGATGATGATAGTGATGATGATGCTGATGATGATGATAATGATGATGATGCCGCTGATGATGATGATGATGCTGCTGCTGATGCTGCTGCTGATGCTAATGATGATGCTGCTGTTGTTGATGATGATGCTGATGATGATGCTGATGATGCTGATGATGATGATGGTGGCGATGGTGATAGTGATTGTGATGGTGATGATGATGCTGATGATGATGCTGATGCTGCTGCTGATGATGATGAGGATGAGGGTAATGATATGATGATGCTGATGATGATGGTGGTGGTGATGGTGATGCCGATGATGATGATGATGCTGATGGTGACGGTGATGGTGATTTTGATGATGATGCTGGTGTTGCTGATGATGATGCTGACAATGATGATGCTGATGATGATGCTGCTGCTGATGATGATGATGCTGATGATACTGATGATGCTGAAGATGATGATGATGATGATGATGATGATGATGATGATAATGATGATGATGATGGTGAGGGTGATGGTGATGGTGATGATGAGGATGATGGTGATGATCATTATGCTGGTGCTCATGATGATAATGATGATGCTGATGATGATGCTGCTGCTGATGATGATGAGGATGAGGATGGTGATGATGATGATGATGATGATGATGATGATGATGTTGGTGATGGTGATGGTGATGGTGATTGGTCATTGTGATGGTGATGATGGTGATGGTGATGATGCTGGTGCTACTGATCATGATGATAATGCTGACGATGATGCTGCTGATGCTGATGATGATGCTGCTGTTGTTGATGATGATGCTGATGCTGATGATGCTGATGATGCTGCTGATGATGATGCTGATGATGGTGATGGTGATTGGTCATTGTGATGGTGATGATGCTAATGATGATGGTTATGATGATAGTGATGATGCTGATGATGCTGATGATGCTGGTGCTCAGGATGATGATGATGCTGATGATGACGATCATGATGCTGCTGCTGCTGATGATGATGATGCTGACGATGCTGCTGATGCTGATGCTGATGATGGTGATGATGATGGTGATGGTGATGATGATGTTGATGATGAAGATCATGGCGGTGATGATGCTGATGATGCTGGTACTTATGATGATGATGGTGATGATGATGATGCTGATGATGATGATGCTGATGATGATGATGCTGGTGATGATGATGATGATGATGATGATGATGCCGATGGTGATGATGACGACGATGGTCATGATGATGCTGCTGATGTTGATGATGATCATTGTGATGATGCTGATGATGATGCTGGTGCTAATGCTGATGATGAGTATGCTGCTGCTGATGATGCTGATGATGATGATGCTGATGATGATGCTGCTGATGGTGATGATGATGATGCTGATGATGATGGTGATGATGGTGATGGTGATGGTGATGATGATGCTGATGATGATGTTGAGGATGACGAAGCTGGTGCTGATGATGATGATGATGCTGATGATGATGATGCTGACGATGATGCTGCTGATGATGCTGATGATGCTGATGATGATGATGATTGTGATGGTGATGGTGATGGTGATGATGATGATGATGATGATGATGATGGTGATGATGATGATGGTGGTAATGATGATGCTGATGATGCCGATGATGATGCTGATGATGCTGATGATGATGCTGATGATGGTGATGGTGATGATGAAGATTATGATGCTAATGATGATGGTGAGGATGATGATGCTGATGATGCTGATGATGATGCTGATGATGATGCTGATGATGATGCTGATGATGATGATGGTGATGGTGATGATGCTGCTGATGATGATGGTGACGATGATGATGATGATGATGATGATGATGATGATGATGGTGATGATGATGATGATGAGGATGATGATGCTGCTGGTGCTTATGATGATGTTGGCGATGATGCGTATCATGATGATGCTGCTGATGAGGATAATGATGCTGATGATGATTATGATGCTGATGATGCTGACGCAGATGCTGCTCATGATGATGGTGATGTTGAGGATGAGGATGATGATGATGATGCTGCTGCTGATGATGATGATGGTGATGGTGATGGTGATGGTGATCATGATGCTGATGATGATGGTGATGGTGATGGTGATGGTGATGGTGATGGTGATGGTGATGGTGATGGTGATGGTGGTGATGATGATGATGGTGATGGTGATGATGATGATGATGTGATGATGATGATGATGATGATGATGATGATGATGATGATGATGATGATGATGATGATGATGATGATGATGATGATGATGATGATGATGATGATGATGATGATGATGATGATGATGATGATGATGATGATGATGATTATGATGATGATGATGATGAGATGATGATGATGAGGAGGAGGAGGAGGAGGAGGAGGATGAGGAGGAGGAGGAGGAGGAGCAGGAGGAGGACACGGGACTCAGGAGGAGGAGGGAGGAGGAGGAGGAGGAGGAGGAGGAGGAGGAGAGAGGAGGAGGAGGAGGGGGACGGCACCCCCCCTCCTCCCCGTCGCTCTCCGAAGGCCCCGAGGCCGAGAGGGGGCCTCGTCTGGGGGCTCGCGGCGCGCTCCAGGAGGGGCCTCCCCCTTTCGGCGCGCCGAGCGCGGCGGAGGGTCGGGCGGCGGCAGGGCGGCGGCGGGGCCCGCGGCGACGGCCAGCTGCAGGGCTGCCGAGGGCGGCGGGGGCAGCAGTGGCGCGCGCCCGACGGTGGGGCCCGGCGGCTCACGCCCCACTCAGGCGGTTCGGGTAGTCTAGGCCTCCCAGATGGGGTCGGAGTGGATGGGGCCGGAGGATCGCGCCGCATCGCCGATGCATCGCCGATGCGGCTCGATGCAGAGCCCGATTTTCTCCGCGCTGGCGTCGTCAATGCATCGCCCACGTCGACGATGCATCGCCAGTGCATCGCCGATGCATCGCCGATGCATCGCCGATGTATCGGCGATGCGGCGCGATCCTCCGACCCCATATACTCCGACCCCATCTAGGAGGCTTCTAGGTAGGCACGCACGCCTCCAAGGGGGAAGCGAGAAGGAGAAGGCCCTCTCAGAGGGCGGCGAGGCTTCTCAGAAGACCGGGGGACCTCCGAGCCTCTTGAGAAGGCCCTTTTCTTCTCACTCCCCCCCCTCGCTCCCCGCCGACGTGAAGCGACGCCCAACTTTGGGTCGACCCGCCCCTGGTTCCGAGCCGTGTCCGCACTTCGCCTCCCTCGGCTCGGCGCCACCCAAGCATACAAGAGGGCGACGCGAGCGCCGAGACAACTTACAGTATATGTTCCGAGGCGGGCGCTTGCAGGCCGTACCTCCCGGGAAACTGCATGCTACAATTTGTTTATATCATTCGTTCGGGTAGGACGCACGCCTCCAAGGAGGACATATAGTACTAGTATACATCGGTCGTTGCAAGTAGGCATTTTTGGAGTCCCAGATTCCAGTCTACTCTGAGCGCCTTCCTACCTCAATGATCGAGTGGCTTCTCCTTTTTTCCGTCCTCTCCAGGGGGCGGGGCACCCAATCTGCTTTCGACGCCTTCCTACTTCAGGCGATCGCAAACATGGATCAAGGGGGCGTGGATTAGCGACGGGCCCCGTTTCCATGGGAAATGGCGGATCTCCGCCGCCGAGCGAGGCGGCACCCGCCGCACGGCTTTGCCGACCGCGCGCCAAATTCACGGATCGCCAATCCATGTCTGCGCGCCCCCGGCCCACGGCCTCGCCGCTCCCGTTTCCTCCGCCTCCGGGTTCCTTCTGGCTCTCTCCTGTCGTCAGCGGTGCGGAGGGTGACAAATGAGGGGGTCCGCAGGTGGTCGCGAGGCACTCGCCCAGCCTGTGAGCGCGGGGAAAACAATCTCTCTTGTTGTCTCCTCCCCTCTTGTCGCCTGTCTGGGGTGTGCCCCCCCGCGGTGCTCCCGGGTGGACAGTGAGAGGCCTGGGGGGCCAGCGAACCCTACCCCCCACGATTTTTGAGGGGGATGGTGGGGGGTAGGGGTAAGGTTCGCATGTGGCTTTTTACGACCAGCAGCTTTTTGGGTCCAAGGTTTCATGACGCCTGCAGGGTGTCGCCCCGCATTTTTTGCGCCGCGAGGCTCGCCCGATCAGAGGCCGGCTGCGGGGATTTGACGAGGCAGGGGAGCAGATCGGCACCGTTGCACCAGGGGGAGAAAGCGCAGGAGAAAGAGGCGGAGGCAACGTGGCAACAGCAAACCTGACGAATACGCGAAGCATCTTGCCGTTTCAGTTTCAAAGTGTTTAGCATCTAGGGATGAAAAGCCACCTGGGCCCGACAGTTGGCGTTTACTAAACGGCCCTAGGCGTTTATTAGACAGCCCTGTTACTAAACGGCTTCGCTTGTCGGGGTGATTGTTATGGGGGTATATTTTCTGCACTCCATAGCAGAGATGTCACCGGCCAAGGAGTTGTCCGGTAATCTTGACAGGGAGCCCGAACCACCCAAGCCGAGTTACGTCCCAAGCGGTCAGCCTCACCGAGTGCGTTGGAACCGCTTGCGGTGGCGCTTCGTTCAGCGATCCTGATGTTGTCAGGTAATACAGGGGGCCCCTGGTAGATGTGCGGTTCTCACCCCAGCTGTGACACGTTTGGTATTCTCCATACAAGTTTCATGACTGAGTATAAGAAAACGGGGCATTCACGTCAGGGCAGCCTCGGAAACTCGGGGGACCCTGTGATAACATTTACGTCCAGCAGCGTTGCCAGCTTTTGTCGGGCAAACTTCCGTGGCTTAAGTGCCAGCGCGTTTCCCATCCCTGGCCATTCATTCCATTATGCCTCGTGGTGAGAGGTGGTATTCTAGGCGCTAGAGCATGCAGCGGAATGAAGGCTGGGAAGCCTTCATACTACAAGATGGGGAGGATGGAGGAGAAGCTGGAGGAGGAGAAGGAGGAGGAGGAGGAGTGCAGTGGAAACCCATGCCAAGAAACACCCTGATGGCCTCCAGGGTGCTTCGCTTTCTTGGGTTTCGATGGCTTTGCTATGGAAAGCGTGACGTTCCCACACCAAAAATCAATGGATGTCCCGGGGTCTCAGGGTTAGGTTTCTTTTGGAAGGTTTATCGTGGTCGAGCTCCTACTGTAGAGGAGCAGGTCGAGGGCGAGGGGGACCTGGTTCAGGCTGATGTGGAAGAGACGGCAGCCGTACCAGTGCCATCACGACGCGCCGACCGGCCCCCCGTCGCCCGTCACCGCCTCCTCGTTTCCCCCTCCTGGACGCCCGTGGAGGTGCGCTGATCTCGTGCTTTCTCTTCCTTCTCCCCCTCCTCGGAAACTGGAGCATATACATTACCAGTAGCGGGCTGTTTTTCAATCCCAGGACTTTTTGAGGGTCGGGGACGACGTCGGGGTGGTGTGGTGTATACTTTTTTCCCCGTCTTCCCGGGGAATCGACGAGACATGTATACACCAGGGTCCTGCTTACACCAGGATCCACTTTCCTGTGCGAGTTTCAGTGCGGGGCCAGAAAACGCGTCCTCCCTCTTTCCTCGGTTCGTGCTCGCTTGCCGAGCCCCCTTCCCAGCAGCTGGGAAGGTGTCACGGTGCGTAGATGCCTTTTCGGCGAGTTTGATTAGTCGCGTGCGCGTTGATAGCCGTGTGGCTGCTGTTGCTGCTGCTGCTGCTGCCCCATCCGCGCGTTTAGCGCCCCCCTGTCTCCCTGCCCCATCTGCTCTCTCTTCTTTTTCCCTCCCCGCCTGATGGCGTGAAGTTATTCGCGCCGCGCGGCCCTCCCGAGGTTTGGGTCAGAGGCGCGTCGCCCGCAGACTCGTGGAGGCTTTGACGGGTTCTGGCGAGACCATCCCTCGCATGCCTCGTCCTGGTGGACACCCGCTGCAATTATCAGCGGGTGCAAAGGCGGCGGAGGAGGAGGACGAGGAGGAGGAGGAGGAGGAGGAAGACCAGTTTGAACCCACGAGTCATCAACGATGCTGTAATCAATTCAGAACTGTCATTGGAGAAGTCAACATTATCCCTGCAAGCTCCCTTTGCATAGGCCCCATACAAGGGTTCATTCCCACAGAGGTAAGTGCCTCGTTGGGAGACAACCGTTTGAAGATCCTGAAGCGTGCTAACAACATTGTTTTAGGGGGCCACGAACAAATTTGACTGTTACGTCTTGACGATCCTGAATCGTGCCAGGACGCCTTTCCCAGAGCACCGACACCGCGAATCAATGTAACTGCTGCGCTCTGAATCCTGAATCATTCCGACACAACCATGGGGATGCGTGAGTCTATTTGCACATGTTGAAGACGATTGTGCGCGGCGCTACGACGAGAACCACATGTTGAACATGAGCCGCCCTCAGCCCGTGAAACTCTTGCACATTCAGAAAGCGAGTATGCGTGGCGCTAAGACGAGAGCCACATGTTGAAGACAACCCGCACCCCACGGCGCCAAGGCGACTACCACATTTTGGAAGCGACCCGCCATCCATCAGTGAATATGTTGCCAATTACTGAGTTTCGGGATTATAAATGATGAGGAAGTCTCAGCCGAAAGGCCTAGACCGCCGTTCCAGCTGGCCTCGGGGTGTGACAGGGAGGAGTTATTTAGACGGAGAAGGAATGGAGGAGCAGGAGGAGGAGGAGGGGGAGTGGGACGATGGAGCAAGGAGAAGGGAGGAGGGAAGAGGAGGAGGATTTGGCGGATGCAGAAGAGGAGGAGGACGGCGAACAGAAAGGCCCAAGGCCTCTTGCATGCTCCTCGGAGTCAAATCGGATTTCTTTTGGGAGCTTCTTATAGGCGTGGTGGGGCGTCTCGGAGGTCTCGTGGAGGTTCCGGGGGCCTCTTGAAGCGTCTGAGGTGCTTCGGAGGAGCCTTTTCGGGCCTCAAGGGGGTCTCGTAAGAGCCTCTTGGGGGCATCGGGGGGGGCATCTTGGGGGCCTCTTGGGGCCTCCTGGGCGCCTCTTGGGGCCTTCTTGGGGCACTCTTGGGAGCCTCGGGGGCCATTTTGGGGCCATCTTGCGCGCTCCCCCGCAAAGCGCCCTGGCCAGGTCCAGGGGGAGGGGGTAGAGGGAGGGGTAAACTGATACCCGAAGGGGAAGAAGGGGGTTGGAGGAGGAAACTTTCTAAACTACTCACGCCCTCAAAGGCTGGTGGGATGAAGAAGTGCCCCCCATGGGTTTTGTTCTCTGACGGCCCATGCGTCCCTGGAGTGGTTGCATGGTGGGAGAGCCATTGGAAAATGAGGAGGAGGAGGAGGAGGAGGAGGAGGAGGAGGAGGAGGAGGAGGAGGAGGAGGAGAAGGTGCCGAACGCTACCGCTGCCTCCGCTTGTTGCCTGCCTGCCCTGGTCACGTGGCGCAGGTCTCGGGGCCCTGGACATGCGTGGGCCTGCACGGTGCAACCTGCAGCAGCTCTGCCCACGGCAGCCACCAATCGCCCAACTCGCGTGCACCGAGCACCGAGGACCTCGAAGAAGGACGAGGGTGTCGGGTGAGAGGTGAAGGGCGGGTGAGACGACGGAGGATGACAGAAACGGGGTGTGGAGGTGCACGTGGGGGAGCCGGTTGGGAACCAGGGAGCGAAGGGTGGGAAGCAGGAGGCGAAGGGCGCGATGAGATGATGATGCTGATGCTGATGCTGATGATGATGATGATGATGATGATGATGATGATGATGATGATGATGATGCTGATGATGACGATGATGGTGATGCTGATGGTGTTGACGCTGATGCTGATACTGATGCTACTGATGATGATGGTGGTGGTGAGGATGATGGTGATGATGATCATGATGATGATGCCGATGCTGATGATGGTGATGATGATGATGATGTTGGTGCTGATGATGACGATGGCCATGACGATGATCATCAGCTGATGCTGATGATATGTTTATGCTGATGCCAAGGCTGCTGATGCTGATGATGATGATGGTGATGGTGATGATGATGGTGATGGTGATGATGATGGTAGTGGTGGTGATGATGATGATGATTCTGATGATGATGAAGAAGATGATGATGATGCTGATGATGATGATGATGACGATGGTGGCGAGGATGATGTGATGGTGATGGTGACGGTAATGGTGACGGTGATGGAGATGTTGATGGTGGTGGTGATGGTAATGGTGAAATAATGATGATGATGATGGTTATGGTGATGATGTTGAGCATGATGATGATACTGATGATGATGTTGATGATGATGACGATGATGAAGATGAATATGAATATGATGGTGATTGTGATGCTGTTGGTGATGATGATGGGGACGGTGATGGTGATGATTATGGTGATGATGGTGATGATGATGATGGTGATGATGGTGATGGTGATGGCGATGGTGATGGTGATGATGGTGATGATGGTGATGACGATGCTGATGGTGATGACGATGATGATCAGGATGGGGATAATCATGATGATGATGATGATGCTGCTGATGCTGCTGCTGCTGATGATGATGATGCTGATGATCATGCTGATGATGATGATGATGATGATGATGATGATGATGATGATGATGATGATGAGGAGGAGGAGGAGGAGGAGGAGGAGGAGGAGGATGGGCACAGATGGATGGCAGTAGGTGTGGGTAAAACAATATGAGGGAGATGGTAATAATGCAATGTTGATGCGACATTGCTGATGATGGCAATGGTGGCGGTGTTGCTGACGACGGTGTTGCTCACGATGCTGATCTTGCTGGTGATGCCGATGCTGCTGATGATGGTGCTGACAATGACGTTGTCGCGATGGCAATGGCGATGTGGTGGTGGTGGTGGTGGCGACGAGAGTGTCGATGAATGTGGCCATGCTGACGATGACATGTATTCTGACGACGATGCTGGTGCTGTCTGCCGCGGTGGTGGTAACTTTTGACTTGTAGCTTGAAGTGAAGCGAGACGCGCGGTCCCCGTTCACCCGTGCTTATTGTTTTGTTTCTTCTCTCACTCGCCCTTTCTCTTCAACCGCGGGTGTGCGTGGCGGCGCTTGAATCGATCAGAGCTGGGACGAGGATAAATCCCCTCCAGAGCGTTCCGGAACGCTCCCAGAGCGTTCCGGAACGCTCTGAGAAGGCCGTGGCGCCCGAGACATCCCCCAGATCCGCCGGATCTCCGAAATTCTCGATTTGTCTTCACCCGATGTTATCCTCGTCCTAGCTTCGTCTTTCGGGGGTGGACAGAGCCCCCACCCTGACACGTCGATTCGTGAATGGTCCGTTTTCGGTTCTCGAGGCGGCGCCGCGGCCGTCAGCTTCCAGGCTTGCGCCCGCCAGGTTCGAGCCCGAGGTCGTTCTCGCCGAGCCCCGTTTTTTGCTGGAGGGGGCTCTGCCCACCCCGAGTCCTGTCGAGCCCGCTGGGGCAGGAGCGCAGGGCGATGAGGAGGAGGAGGAGGAGGAGGAGGAGGAGGAGGAGGAGGAGGAGGAGGAGGAGGAGGAGGAGGCAGGTGGCCGCGCGCACCAGGGGCCCCACCTGGGGGGGTCGAGGTGGAGGCTCGCGCCGGCCTGTTCGAGGCCCAGTCCTGCACGGGGCCCGAGGAGCATCCCGGGCCCTCCCTCTCTTGGCTCTCTCTCTCTCTTCGGCGTCGCGTACTGGGGGGGCGATGCGTCGGGAGTGCCTTTTTACCCTCCGGGCCAGATCGCGCGTCGTGCCCCCTACCCTCCCCCTCTCCCCCCCCCATAACGTAACGCTCCCTCCCTCAGTGTGCCCCCGTCACTGCCGCAGTGCGTCCGGCACCACAGTTTTGGGGGGGGGGGAGGGGCCGTTGCGTCATGCCCCGCCCCCCCCCCCCCGTCCCTACCCCCACCCCTCCCCCCCATAGCTGCCCGTGATGGCCGCGAACAAGTGGCACGCGTGCCCCGGCTCTTGCACCGAGGAGCTGCGAGGGACAGGGGAGGCTTTCGCCCCCTTCCTCCAGGAGCCTCCTTCCGTGGCCACAGGGGGGGGCGGGGGACGAACGACGAACGAACGAACGACGACAACGAAAACAGAGAGGTCCGAGCTCCAGAACACAGCCGTGCAAGAGAATAACAAACATGCGCTCATCGGGGGGCAGCGAGGGCTGCAGAAAAGGGGGATCCCTCGGGCCCCCGCAAGGGGGCCATGATCAGCGGCGAGCGAGGGGGGGAAGTGAGAAGGAGAAGTGAGAAGCGGCGAGCGAGGGGGGGAAGTGAGAAGGGGCCGCTGATCAGCGGCGAGCGAGGGGGGGAAGCGAGAAGGAGAAGGCCCTCTCAGAGGGCGGCGAGGCTTCTCAGAAGGCCGGGGGACCTCCGAGCCTCTTGAGAAGGCCCTCTTCTTCTCACTCCCCCCCCTCGCTCCCCGCCGACGTGAAGCGACGCCCAACTTTGGGTCGACCCGCCCCTGGTTCCGAGCCGTGTCCGCACTTCGCCTCCCTCGGCTCGGCGCCACCCAAGCATACAAGAGGGCGACGCGCGCGCCGAGACATCTTGCAGTATATGTTCCGAGGAGGGCGCTTGCAGGCCGTACCTCCCGGGAAGCTGCATGCTACAATTTGTTTACATCATGTGTTCGGGTAGGACGCACGCCTCCAAGGAGGACATATAGTACTAGTATACATCGGTCGTTGCAAATAGGCATTTTTGGATTCCCAGATTCCAGTCTACTCTGAGCGCCTTCCTACCTCAATGATCGAGTGGCTTCTCCTTTTCCGTCCTCTCCAGGGGGCGGGCGGGCACCCAACCTACTTTCGACGCCTTCCTACTTCAGGCGATCGCAAACATGGATCAAGCGGGCGTGGATTAGCGACGGGTCCCGTTTCCATGGGAAATCGCGGATCTCCGCCGCCGAGCGAGGCGGCACCGGCCGCATTTTGGGGAGGGCACCTCCCCCGATCCATGGCTTTGGCGACCGCGCGCCAAATCCACGGATCGTTAATCCATGTTTCCGCGCCCCCCACTACTTCATGTTTCTACCTACAGCGAGCGGCTTGAATCATGAACACTTACTTTTCAAAAGGGGCTCGGTCGTTCCTCAGGCTTACATGCGTTACTCATCGCTCCTGATGCGTTATTTATGATTTATCGTTCCTTATGCGTTATTCCGTGGGAGAACATGGGGCTTCGTTCCTTGTTAAAACGCTTCGCTCATTCCGCCTGCCCTGGAGCTCTCTTTAGGGCCTCTTGGGAGTCTCTTGGGGACCTCTTGGGAGTCTCTTGGGGCTCCTTGGCGGCGTCTTGGGGGCCCCCAGGGCCTCTTGGGGGGCTTCTGGGGGCCTCTTGGGACGGGAGGGGGGGTAGTCGATTGCGGCTCCCCCCTCGGAGGCCACGATCCTCGTGAGGGGTGTCGAAAAATGGCCCTCCCCTGGAGTGCTCTGGTGGCTTCTCCCGGGACCTTGCCGGGGTACTTTTCGTCCAGGGGCCCCCAGGGGCCGCTCCGCGCGCGCGAACTAGAAGTACTGTTGACCAGTTTCCGGAGATCTTAGCACGCCTCTGGTCCGTGTGGCCGGCGAATTGCTCGTTCCTTGGGTCAGGCCTGTTCCGGAGGGAAAAAACACACACGGACACAATGAATCGTCGATTCCCCAGAAAATGTAGGAAAAGATGGGAAGTGGGGGGAAGACGAACACCCCGAAAATAGAGAAAACTATGGGGAACCTTTTTATTTGTGTGTACTCCGGATTTCGTAATAAAGGGAGGGGGGTCTCATTTCGGGGGGGTCTCTTCCAGGCTATCTTGGAGTTGAGGTGGTTGAGAGTGCTTGCCATGAGGCCTTCAAAATGTTAAGTCATGTGTTGATACCAGAGTTGTGGAGTTGTGTTGATGAGTTGTAAGAAATGATGTAGGATATGTTGAAAATGTTGCGTTTCCACACATTCGCGCTTCAGAAAGTTGAAGGAAGCGTTGTTGTCCTGAAACGAGTTGCGGGAACTGTTGGTTATGAAAAAACGAGTTGGAGAAACTGTAGATGTCAAAAACCAACGAGCGCATTGATCTTGAATTGCATTGTTTGGATCGATCTTTTTGTCGGGAAAGGAGCAACAAGAGGAAAACGAGGAGGAGAAAAACCCCAAACTACAGCCCCCAAGCACAACTCCCCAGCACATCCCCTCAGCACGACCCGCCAGCACGACCCCGCAGCACGATCCCCAGGCTCAAGCCTCAAGCCCCCAGCACAACCCCTCAGCACGATCCCCATCACAATCCCCCAGCACAACCCCCAAGCACAATCCCCCAGCACGACCCCCGAGCGCACCCCTTCCCCCTACGTTTGCCTCCACGTTTGCCTCCCCCCTACCTTCCCCCACCAGCTCTTCGCCTCTTTGCCCTGCCCCCCTTCCCCTGTGGCTTTTTCGGCCCGAACTATTCTTAGATGGGGTGGGGCCCGAGCAACACGCACGACCCTCTCACCAGTAGCAGTGATGTAGATGATGGGCGTCCTGCTGGGCCCGTCATCCCCCCTCGGGTGGCTGCTGGCGGGCCCGCGGTGACCGCGGTAGTTCCTGCTGGTTCCGTCAGCCCCCCTCGGGTGGCTGCTGGCTCCGTCAGCCCCCCTCGGGTGGCTGCTGGCGGTGCTGGCGAGCCTCCTCCAAAAAAAGAGGGGGCGCCCTCCTGGCTCGATTCGGCCGTCCACCATCGTCCGGGCCTCGGCGAAGGCGGAGCCTAAACCCAAGGCGAAGGCGGGCCCGATGGCCCGCGGCGAGAAGGGCCGATTCGTCAGCGCGCAGCAGCAGCAGCAAAGCCAGCAGCAGACTCTGCAGACGCTCCAGGAGCAGATCCGCGCAGCAGCAGAAACGGAAGTGGCCCTGAGCATCGTCAGCCATCCGCCCTCGTCCTGGCCTCGGCTGTGAGGAGGGGGGCAACGGGGATGAAGCAGCATGTAAACATCGGGAGGGGAACGACGAGGGAGGAGGAGGAAGGAGGAGGGGAGTGGAGTGAAGTGGGGTGGAGCCCGTCGAATCGCAGCCGAGGGCCAGGGCCGCCGAGGGCGGCAGTCGCCTGCGTCGTCGTCGTCGACGCGACGTCGTCGTCGTCGTCGACGTCGTCGTCGTCGTCGTCGTCGACGTCGTCGTCGTCGTCGACGTCGTCGTCGTCGTCATCCCTGCTTGATTTCCAGCAGGGCCTCAACCTGATCAGAGCCGTGCCAGCTGCCAGGTCCTCCATTGCGCCTGCGTTTGGTCCAGGGTCGTTTGGTCCAAACAACTGCGCGTTGCTCGACGAGCCGCGGGGCCGCATGCTTTCGCGGCCACTTCCACCTCGGCTGCTTCTATCCGGGATGGCCTTGAACGTCATTATGTGAAGGCTACGGGGATCAGATTGGCAGCCAATACTTGTATTGCGGCTCGCAGTGCATTTGAAGCTGCAATTCGCGTTGTCAGGCAACTGCTTGAAGATGGGACCCTTGAGTATATTATGTGTTTCGATCACTTGATGTACGATGAGAGCCCGCTCCGATTTAAGGTTCCACACTCCTCCCTTACTAACTTTTCTCTTCTACCCCCCCCTTCCAATTGATCCCTGAGCCTGAGCCCCCTCCTCCTCCCCTCAGACGACCATAACATCACGACGACGACGGAGACGACGACGGCAAAGGCGACGGCGACGGCGACGGCGACGGCCGCGGCGACGACGACGACGAATGCACCGTCGACGACCCTTCCCCAGGTTGAGTCAGGCAAGCTGGTTGGTTTGAGCAAGATATTCCAGACAGAATTTTCGTCGACTTGTATAGTGAAGCATGTGCAAACTGGTAAGATCTTATGCTTGCATTTCGACAGCCCCTGTTGGCTCCAGCAGATTGACAGGACCACGGGTGAGTCTATCGTGCAGGCCTTGGATAAGCAAGTCGAGGCCGGAGGCTTCCCCAGAAGATGTTTGGCAACAGGCGCCACGGCCGGCTGATCACGTCAGACGACGCAGGATCCAACGACAGAGCGCACCGTTTTTATCAGATTCATTGTGGCTTAGCCGGGCGCATTCCGCGCTCGGTGCACAAGCTTCAGGCCCTGGGCCCCAGGACTGGGGCTGTGGTGGATTCTTCCGTTACTGGCATCCTGAAATCGATGCTGGCACTCGGGCAGGTCGCGCCATTCAGTTTTTAAATGTGCCAACCCTTCCCATCGGATATCGTCTTGGTCATCGTCGTGGTCGTGGTCCTGGTCGTCACCGTCTTCGCCGTCGTCGTCGATTTTCCTGCCCTCCTCGACCTCCTCCGCCTCTCGCTCTCCCTCTGGAGTCTGGAGTGTCCTCCCCGCTCTCCGAGTGAGGCTCGGCTCGAAGCTTGCGGCCGCGGCTGCGCGCCAGGGCCAAGGGGCCGGGGCGCGGCCGTAGGCGGTCATGCCGAACGTCTTGGGACCACCCGCAGAGGAGTATCCCAGGTAGTGGAGACGGGGGGCCCCAGGCTCTCAAGGCTCAAGGCAAGGCCGTCGCCCAGCCCTTGAATTTCAGGGGCTGGGCGACGGCCTTGCCTTGAGAGCCTCGGGCCCAGGGCCCGCCGTTTCCCTTGCCTGGCCATTGGTTTCTCATGTCAGAAGAAGACCCCGAGAACTTTTGGTGGAACAAGGGCCCGCCGCCGCCCATGC